GGCAGGGGCCAGACGAGCTCAATAGTGGAAGGCGGGAACCTCCCATGCTCATCTAAACTTTGTAAAGCCAGGATCATTTATTTTGCAGTTTATGACCCCATTTGGTTTTAGTTGTTACTTCCAACTGAGTTTTTTTTTTTTTTTGGCACTGGGAATTAAACCCAGGGAACTTCACCACTGAGCTCCAGACCCTTTGTCAAAATTTTACTTTGAGGCTGGGCACCGTGGTGCATGCCCTATGATCCCAGCGATTTGAGAGGCTGAGGCAGGAGGATTGCAATTCGAAGCCAGCCTTAGCAATGTAGTGAGGCCTTAAACAACTTAGCAACACCCTGTTTCAAAATTAAAAATAAAAAGGGCTGGGGACTTAGCTCAGTGGTAAAGCTCCCTGGATCAATCCCCAGTACAAAATTTTTTGAGACAAGGTTTTGCCAAGTTGCTGAGGCTGGCCTCAAATTTGCTAAATTCCTGCCTCAATCTTCTGAGTCCCTGAAATTACAGACCTGCACCAGCCTCTGGGCCCAACTGAGTCCTTTTCATAAGAGTACTTCATAAGTGTCAGTGTATTCCTTAGTAGCTCTGGCTTATTGAGCAGTCCCTTACTATGAGGCAGGGTCTATTGCTCTTCTCTTCCTAAATTTTTTTTTTTTTTTTTTTCAGTATTAGAGGCAAGGAATCAGAAGGCCCAATGAGGATAGGTAAATTCCTCAAGGTCACCAAGTGGCAGAGCCAGAAATAACCCCAGCTCTGTTGGTTGCATACATTTCCCACCACACCCTGTCATTTCCTTTACTTAGGTCATTGAAAGGCAAGACTTGTTTGTTAGGGGGTAGGAAAGTAACTTTTATGGACCACCTTCCACTGTGCCAGCTACTCTAAATATACTTTTTTTTTGAGGGGGAGGATACTGGGATTGAACTCAGAGGCACATTACTACTGAATTACCTCCCCATTTGGTTTCTCTAAATTGTTGAATCTGGTCTCAAACTTGAGATGAGGCTAATCTCCAACTTTTGATTCCCCTGGCTCACCTTCCAGAGTTTCTAGGATTACAGGCTGTACATTAATGCCTGGACCACACCCATATTTCTTTTCATTCTCCTCAACACCCCCCCCCCCCACACACACCCCGTATTGGGGATTGAACCCAGGGTCTTCTACCATTGAGCCACATTCCCATTCCCTTTTAAGAACAGTCTATCTATCTATCTATCTATCTATTTATTTATTTATTTTGCAGTGCTGAGGATCAAACTCAGGGCCTCATGCATGCCAGGCAAATGCTCTACCACTGAGTCACATCCCCAGCCCCTATTTCTTTGGACAGGGTCTCACTAATTTGTGAGGCTGGCTTGAACTTGCAATCTTCTTGCTTCAGCTGCTGGAGTATCTGGGATTACAGGCATGTACCAGCATGCCTGGCAATCTCTAATGTCTTTACAGTTCTTGTCAGTTTACAAAGAACTTTCAAGCTCATCATTTCAGAGCTATCATCCCATATGATAGAGGAGGACAGAGTTTTATTCATGAAGACATCTGTCCACCGTCACAAACTAATAGTAAGTAGCAGAGCCTATGGCTTTATATTTATTTATTTTTATATATGAGGTCTTGAAGTCCTGGGTTCAAGTGATCCTCCTGCCTCAGCTTCATGAATAGCTGGAAATACAAGTACATGCCACTGTGTGTAGGCTAGAGCCTGTTTTATTTTATTATTATTATTTTATTTTTTGGGTACCAGAGATTGAACTCAGGGTACTTGGCCACTGAACCACATCCCCAGCCCTATTTTGTATTTTATTTATAGACAGGGTCTCATTGAGTTGCTTAGGGCCTTGCTAAGTTGCTGAGGCTGGCTTTGAACTTTCAATCCTCCTGTCTCAGCCTCCCAAGCTGCTGGGATTACAGGCCTGTAATTTTAAAATGAACTCAACAGAACCAGTGATATCAAAGCTAATTCCATTTATTCATTCTACAGTACTGAGTACCATTCTAATAGTTTTAATGTTTAGCTAATACTTATTAAACACTTAACATGTGTCTATCACAGTGTTCCATGAATATGTACACTAACTCCTTCAGTTTTCAAAAACACATTTTATGAGATGGTGTTACCTTTTCCATTTTATAAATGGGGAAATTGAGACTCAGAGATATGAAGTACCTTTTCAAGGTTACATAGCAACTACATGGCAATGCAAGAATGCCAGATAAAACAGCATGGAGGCCCATCGTGGGAACTAGGCACCTGGGTTGTGTTTGAACATCAGGGCTTGCGTTTCTTTGCCATATCATCATTACTCTTTCTCCAACCCATGTGTGTGGCAGGCCCACACAGCTCCTGCTCTCAAGGAGCTAACACTCTATAAAATCAGCCAAGAATGCTGCCAGTTTTGCCTCACAAGGACACTGGGAGGATTAATAAGCAAATGGCACTTGGAATGCTTCCGCAAAAGTCCTGGATAAACTCAGGGCACTTATGTATGAAATTCACTGCCAAGGGTGGATCATGACTTAATAAGGTGCCTGCAGCCCAGTTCCTGATTTGTTTGAGGTGTAGAGGAAGTAAAGCCAATTACAGCCTTCTTTGGGAAACCATTTATATGTCAGAAGCTAGGGCATCTTTCTGCTGGCCTGGGGATAAGGGAAAGTGGTAGTGTCACGGTCTTCAAAGGCCTTTCATTCTTAGAGATGTCTTTCCAACATCCCAGAAAGGTTTCCAGCTTACTCTGAGGAACACTGATAATTGACACAAGTCATGAATTAACATCATGATTATTTAGGCTCCACAGGCAGACAAACCTGGGCTGAATCTTGCTTCTGTTATTTCGTCTCTCTGAGCTTCCAATCCCTTTTAAAATGGCATAATAATATCTTACTCATAGGGTTATTTTGAAGCATAAACTTGATAATATATTTAAAAACACCTTGCTCAGGGCTTGGAATAGAGTGAATGCTTAATAAATGGCCATTATCATAGCCATTATTGTTATCCTTATGTTGTTATAGTATTTACTGATATTTTAGGGCTGGGCTAAGAGCCAGATGGAGGGAAGATTCATTCATTTGTTCCACAATCTAGTAGGTTGCCCTAAGTAGATGAGTCTAAGCAGGGGAAAATCATGAAAATAGGCATTTACAATATAGTATTATAAGTGGTCTGGCCAGGATTGCATAAGGTGTTTTGAGACTTTAAGAATCACTAAGAAGGAGATGCAGCAAAAGTTTTGGAGAGAAGGTTCTCCATTTCCAATTTGATTCTAGGAAGTGGAAAAGACTACCTGCTGGAGGCAGGTAGAATGCACGCACTAGCTGAGCCTGAGCTTCTTCACCAGAGATCCTTGTTTCTGATCTGTAGTCCCTCTTGCTCCTCAAGGCCTTTCAACTCCCACCCAGCCCTACCGGCCAGCCTTGCCCTAGAATACCCCCTCCTGGGCCACCTGCTGGTGGTAAACATTCCAAGTTCTGATGCCGCTGAGTCATAAGGCCCTTCTTTTTAGCGCTAAGCTTTAATGGAAGCCTTCTGGTCAGGAGCAATGCCATAGGTCCACCTCGTGAAGAACTAATGAAGATTGACCACTGCTTTTCCCCTTAGGACAGGATGAACATGTGTGTGGTAGTAAGGTGGGAGAGAAGACAGCCCAAGGGACAACTTCACTTCCTTCTAGAAAGGTGCTAGTTCTGGGCAACTGGGATTTCCAGGGTGGACAGAACTCCCCCGCCCCCAACTCAACTCTCCTGGCGGTGCCTCCCCTCTTCCTCCCAAGCCACCCTCCAAGGCCTTTCCTAGCTGCCATCTGGCAGTGGCCCTAACCAGTCTCTCAACTCAATGGTGACCACATTTTCCAAACCAAAACTCAGGACGCATGATTTGGCAAAGAATTTCTGGCCAGCTTCCAAGGCAAAAGGATAAAACCTTTCCACTGGAGAATCTCTAGAATAATCTACGTCACTAAATGGGACGTTAGGTTGGAAACCTTGAAATGCAGGGTCTTTCTTCAACCAGGCACTTTTTCATATATTATTGTTACGTGAAGAGCCCAATGAAGTGGCTTATTTCCATTTAGTAGTGGAGAATACTTAGGAAATCACTTGGCCAAGCTCCTTCATCCTATAATCTGAATTTTGGTCAAGGAGAGTTCTTACTTCTGTGCTTATGGGTCTTGCTGGAGAAGGTGGGGGTTGGGGAACAGCGCAGAACTATCCTTCGAGAAGATGCGCACGCCATTTGAGGCCTCCAGGAAGGGCAGCCAAGAACTCAGCTGCCCCGGTTCTCACTTCTGAGTTGGAAATCCCCGAGCACAAGGCTCGGTTGCCGCCCCGTCCCATCAACATCTGGCTCCGGGATGCGCGGCCCGGGAGCGGGAATCAGCCTACGACCTTGGGGTCACCCGGCAGTCCTGGGTCCTTGACCCAGCCCAGGTGCGGATGGGCGGGCCGCAGCCTGGACGGGCGACTCTCTGGGTCACGCTTGCCCCCCCTCCCCGGTCACATGGACGCGCCTTCCGTCGCCAGGAGTGCGGAGCGGAACGAACCACGAGGAGGAGGAGCGGGGGAGGCGCTGAGGGCAGTGGGTCAGCGCCCCGCGGGGCAGGAGGGCGGGCCCAACTGCCTGCGAGCCAGCCGCCAGCCAGTCAGTGGCTCGGAGGGCGGGCCGGCGGCCGCGCGCGCCGCGCCCCGCAGCGCCCCCTGAGGGGCGGCGGCGGGAGCTGGTTCCGGCTGCGCGCGCAGCGGTGGTGGCGGCGGCGCGATCGGCCGTGCTGTAACCGTCGTCCGTCCGGGAGCGGCTAGAGCGGCAGCGGCGGTCGGGCACGGCGCGAGGCAACACCACAGGGCAGCGGCGGCAGCCGGGGCAGCAGGAGACGCAGCGGCGGCCGCAGCAGCAGCAGCAGCCGCAGCAGCCGCAGCAGCAAGACGGACTCGTGGACACGCGCCGCCGCCGCCGCCGGGCCGGGCCGGGTGTCGCGCGCCGAGGCTGGGGGGGAGTCGTCGCCGCCGCCGCCACCGCTACCGCCGCCGCCGCCGCCGCCGAGGTGACTGAGGAGAGAGGCGCCTCCTCGCTCCCGCTGCCGCCGGACTTCAATGCCCAGTTCCCAGCTCGCCAGCGTGAGTGCGCCCCTCCCGGGCGGCCCCGCGTCGGGGCCTCGGGGAAGGGGAGGGCGGGAGGCGCTGCTGCCATTAGTGCAGGCCCGAGACACGTCCCCGGAAGGAGGGCCGGCCCGGGGGCGGGGAGCGCGGCCGGCAGCGTGGAGCGCGAGGGTGGGTGAGCGAGCGGGATCGTGTGTGTGGAAGAATGTGGGGCGTGTGTGCGCGCGGGGGGGAGCGCGTGTGTAGGGCGAGAGTGTGAGTGTCCTTGTGGGAGCGCCGGGAAGAGAGAGTGGGTGGGGGGAGAAAGTACCGGGCGAGTGAGCGTGGGGGAGAGCGTAGGGAGGCTGTGAGGGAGCGAGGGGAGCGTGTGGGCACCACGGGGGAGACTGAGGGCAGAGGCGGCGTAGGGGAGAAGGTGAGTAGCAGATGGGGGAGTGTGTAAGGGTATGCCTGCATTTGTCCACCGTGTGAGCAGGCATCCCGGACGCCCTTCCCCTTGGTCTTTGTGTGAGGTGGTAGTGAACCCTGGTGTCTTGGGTAAGGGAGTTCTCTCCAGGAGCTTCTTGTTCCTGGGTCTTTGCGTTCAAGTAAAGAGGACAAGGTTGGAGGCTTCTCCCAGTGACACTATGTTTTTTTTCTTTCTTTCTTCTTAGAAAGAATGTGGCCTTTTATTTTCTTTCTATAATTTTTTTTGTCCATGTTTAGTGATATTGACACACATTTCTGGATTTTCAAGGATGTGGTTGCCATCCGGTCTTAGTCTGGGGGCTCAGACGTAAGACGTAACCAACACAAACTTGACTCTTGCCCTAAAGCCTGCACTCTTGCCTGTATTCAGAAGCATAAACTTTTTTTTTTGTAAAGTTTGCTAATTTTTTTAGGTGAAAGGAATTTTATTGGTAGGTAAATTGAAACAGTATCTTTCGTGTTGTAACTCCTGTTCTTCTGGAGAAAAGTTCCTAAGAAATGACAATAGTATAACATTGATGAAGAAGAAACATAGGTTAATTTATTGTTTCCTGGAAGTTGTCAAGGTACTTAAAGTGACTAGTTCTAGAATCCCTGTAAACATTCAGCAAAATGCTTGTCAGTTTGGAGTCACCAGCCCTCAACCACTACTGGATTAGTACTTGGCACTTACTTGTTGCCATGTTATATGTATTACAGAGTAATTTCCGGCAGGAAGTGAATGAAGTTATGCCTTGTAAAGTGTGCACAAGGAAAGGAAGGACACAGAAGGACATATTATCAGGTTTCAGAGTCACTTGCTGACATACCACTGGATTGGTGAAGATGCTAAGTTGTTTGCCAAGATTCTGATCTTGACTTTATTTTTTGGGGTTGGGGGTACCTGGCATTGAACTCAGGGGCACTCAACCACTGAGCCACATCCCCAGTCCTATTTTGTATTTTTTTGAGAGATAGGGTCTTACTGAGTTGCCTAGGGCCTCGCTTTTGCCGGTGCTGGCTTTGAGCTTCTGTCTCAGCATCCTGAGCTGCTAGGATTACAGGTGGCGAGTGTGCCTGTCTTGAGTTTTGAAGTTGCATATTGAATAAACTGATGATTGTGGTGGACTTCCTCCCAATCTGGTGTTGTAGAAATAGGGACCCCCCCCGCACCTTGTGGGGATTGAATCCATGGGTGCTTTACCCCGTCCTTTTAAATTTTTTTTTTTTTTTTAAATTTTGATTTATGGTCTTACTAAGTTGCTGAGGCTGACTTTGAACTTGAGATCTTCCTGCCTCAGCCTTCTGAGGACTGGGTTTTCAGGATGTACTACTACCACAACAGGCAAATTTAGGGATTATTTTTTAAAATATATATTTATTTTTTAGTTGTAGTTAGACACAGTACCCCCATTTCATTTATTTATATGTGGTGCTGAGGATTGAACCCAGGCCTCTGCACGTGCCAGGCAAGTACTCCACTGCTGAGCCACAATGCCAGCCCCAAATATAAGGATTCCTAATGAAGAGTGCCTTGATAGGGATTTCATATCTTAATACAATCTTAGAAGATAATGTTATTTTTTGAATTTGGGAGTCTTTCAGTATGACAAGCAAAGAGTAAAGTTGTTCTTTTGACAATAGACAGAATTAGAAGCAAAACCACTGGTATATAATTAGGTATAAATTTCATTATTGTGTTCTTTTTCTCAGTCACTAGTATTCTCTGCTTTCAGAAATAGTATTGTCACTGTTCAGGGATTAATTAATATTAAGTGCCTACTATGCTACAGGTGTTTTTTATGTGCTCTGATTTAATTCTCACAACCACAATAAAGGAGTTAGTTAACCTTCATTTGAATTGATTTGACATATTTTTAGTTGCTTCTGTTTGCCAAGCACTAGGAATTTGGTGATGAGGTCCCATGGATTTATAGTGATGAGATAAAGAGAAACAGAGGATCAAAAGGTTGAGTAATTTGTCCCAGGTCACACACATAATACATATGGAAGCTGGATTAAAAATTGAGGTATTTTTGATTCAAAAGTCCTGATATTTCTCTGTACCATACTTCCCTCTCAATAGATGGTCTCACTTTGAGATTTCTTATCCACATAGTGACCTAGCAGCTTGTACAGATGAGATCTATAGAAGTTAATGGAGAAGGCTGAATAGCTGGAGGCACAGCAGTGGTTTTGGGAGATGCTGACTTCAGGCTCTTAGGGACCTAAACTAGGCTTTTATGTGGGAGGCAGATTTGCCTTGAAACTCTTGGGGCCCCAGGGTGTGTGCTTTGAGACAGTTTTTATGAGGCACCTGGGATATGTCTGGGAGAGAGAAGTGTGATTAAAGAATGCAGCAGCCTTTTATGTTTTTTTTTTTTTTTTTTTTTTGCGGGGGAGGGGGAGGGGTAGGGGAGGAGTGTATTGGGGCTAACAGTCAACTGGAAGTTGCCACTTTGTTTCTCTGTTGAGATGTGTGTAGTACTTAAATTAGGAGATTGTTAAGATCTTGTGAGAAAATTCATGTGAAAGCACTTTGTTATAAATTAAATTACAGATGTTAAATATTACCACTAAGACTTTATGAAGGCAAAAATTTAACTGTCACATTTAGAGCTAGAAAAAGCTGGCGTTTTAGAACACCTTTACAAATGAAAAATAGTTTAGAACTGCTGAACCTGGTATTTTCTGACTCAGAACAGGGAGTCAGACCACTCCTTCTGTGATTCAGTCAAGTAATATTTAATATGAATGAACCAAGTTTATAGGCAGAAACGGTTTACAAAATCACTGAACTTTGATGGCAGTAGGGAAGAGTATGTTTGAATGCTTTTGCTTATAACATATTTAGAAAGTCAGAAAGTCCTCTGTAGTGTATGTATGTACACACACACACACACACACACACAATTTACTTGAAAAAAGTTGTAAACAAGATAGTCATGTTCTACCACTGAACAATATCCCTGAGCTCCTTTCTTGAACTTTTTTTTCATTTTTCCTTTAAAGGTAGTATTTCCTTATGTAGTAATTATAGGCCACTTTATAATTTTGAGACAGAAAGTTGAAATTCAGTAGGGATTTAGTTCGCAGAGTTTGTACTTGTTCCTTTTTGTTGGAATGTGAGTTGGTAATCAATGAACACTCTAGAAAAAACATTCACAAATAAGATTTAGAGGAACAGTACATAAGTTTTCAGCTGTTGCTCTTGGAGGAGTGAAACTTGTTAAAGTAAAACCTAAGGGTTTTTCTTTTTGTTTATTTGTTTGTTTTCCCTTCAGGTTATAGAACTTGTTGAATAGGATTGGGATGTTTAAAAATTTTGAATAACTGGAAATCAGAGTCCATAGTTTTAAAATGGTGTAGTTTAAGTTATGTTTAATGAACAGGGTAGTGGTGGATATCTAGTGGCCTTGGGATACTTGTAAATTCCAACATTAAAGTTTAGGGCTTTAGGTTTCAACATTCTCTTTGTGAGAATCTTTTTTTAATAGCAGATCGCATCTTATTTAAAACTCAGTAATTTTGTGAGTAAGGGGTATTCTTTCAGCTTCACATAATTAAGGAAATTGGTTTAATATTTATTTTTTAGTTTTCGGCGGACACAACATCTTTGTTTTGTATGTGGTGCTGAGGATCGAACCCGGGCCGCATGCATGCCAGGCGAGCGCGCTACCGCTTGAGCCACATCCCCAGCCCCAGGAAATTGGTTTATAGATTGCTGAATCCCAAGTTTTAAAATCTAGATTAAAGTGTATTTGTAAGTAGATGATAGTGGGTAAAAATATTTTTTTTCCTCTTGAAGCTTAAAGTATTTAAATTGCTGTAGAGAACCATGGATGCCACCTATTATAATTGCTTTGAGAAATGGTGACTTGAATATGTTAATCTGGAATACTAGAGTCTTTTCTTCATTTTCAGCCTCAGAACTATTATGTATAGAAGTGTTTGGTAGCTTCCTCCAATTATTTGTTTTATCCATTGAAACACATTCTCTAGTTCATTTGACTTCCTAGTTACTCTCTTGGGACTTGATGCCTTATAGGATTGCTTGGTGTAGAGCTGAAGTGGATGTTATATGTAAATCTTTTGTTTCTTGGAGTTATAGAACTCTAGGCTGAACCAGAAAATGTCATCACCCTAACACTTTCATGAAAGAAACTGTACACAATACTCTAGGCTCTGTCTACTTTCCACAGGTCCCCATGGTGAAGTTATCAGGATGCAGGTGAGAAAATAAGCCTTCTGTATGTCCTAAGTTAGTTTTCCCTGCACTGTAATTGACAGATAATACACACACAGCACACATGCACGGTGTGTGTGCACGCGGGCGCGCACTCTCATGCATAATGAGGAGGGATAGGGATTGAACCTAGAGGCTTACCTCTGAGCTATATCCCCAGTCCTTTTTTCTTTTGATACCAGGGATTGAACCCAGAGATGCTTAACCACTGAGTCCTTTTTTGTATTTTATTTAGAGACACAGAGGGGTCTCACTGAGTTGTTTAGAGCCTTGCTAAGTTGCTGAGGCTGGCTTTGAACTTGTGTTTCTCCTGCCTCAGCTTCTC